CGAGTATGAAGTTTAGCCGCTTCACAAAGTTTGGACTTGACTTTTATATGCTCGTTGAAGGATAGGGACACAAGGCTAGTAAAATATGGTGTCAAGCTTGGAACAAAGAAGCACTTAGAGCTTATGTGTATATTATCTTCATGTATTCATATGAGTTGCAAGGGTTCAATCCTTAGAGACACCCCGAAATTCGAATATTTGGAATGTGTAATATACTAAGATGAAAATTCAATCGTCGCGACATTTTCATTTATGCATAAGTTTGTTGAATCTAGCTATTATCTCAGAAAATAAGTCATGGATTACACTAAAATAGGGGAGGATTGTTGGTGATTTTAGTGTCATCAGTTTATTTTGTGTAATTGGATTTACTTCGATCGGACAAGAATTTAAATAGACGTTGTCAAACGAGTTAGGAGGCACGGAGTGCACGCTCGTTCAATGATATTATAAATTCACTGCGGGGTCCGGAGACGGCAGCCCTCGGGATAGCGGGGGTCCGGGGGCGGCAGCCCCCGGATAGTGGGGTCCAAGGGGCAAAGCCCCTGGCCAGGGTAGAAGGGGCACAGCCCCTGGCCGGGACAGCTTGGAAATTTTTTATTTCGGACATTGTTTCTTTAAGAAAATCCTTAATATTTTCGTGATCGAAGTCCAAAACGGTAAAGGACTCCAACAAGCGGATAATGTCGAAATTAACTCCAAAAGCCGCAGGAACTTCTCGCACCTCTTCTCCGCGCGAACGTATGCGTATGTTTACGCAAACGGTCATGTCTGATCAAGAAATTTTCGACTCTATAAAATAGAGTCTCGTGGTATGGATTGATGACGGATTTCGAGTGCTTGTTCTTGATTAACGTCTTATCCGATTAAAGTATTTCGTATACCCCGAAATAACTTTGATATGAAAGCGTTTCGTATGTGATTCGTTATACTATCAAGTTCTTCGTTCAAGACTGCTTCGCAGTGTTCTTCTTATTAAAAATCCAACAGGATTGACTTTAAAAAGTTAAAATTCCAAAAATACTCCGGGACGATGAAGTACTCTTTAATATGTTTCTTTAATATTATCTTAGTTTTCAAAAAATAATAAAAATAATAATAGGTGTTGATAGAAAACTACTCCATCCGTCCCAATTTAGGTGCTCTATTTACTATTTACATGGTCAAGCTTTAACTATGTTGTTTATCCATTTTTGCTACGTGTTTGAGAAAATAATATAGTCTTCTCACCCCTTATTTTGTAGATCTTTTGATGTATTTAAATATATAAATTTTATTTTTAATTTCATACCAATTTTTAAATAAATTAAATTAAAAATAACGTTGGTCAAATCTCGTAAACAATAACAGACAATATAAATTGGGATGAAGATAGTATATAAAAGAGATATTCACAATAAAAGTGTGAAATATTACGATTTTACGTTTCTTGAGGGAAAATGTTACATGATTCAATCTTATTTAGTTCTAGTACTTATTGAAAACTAACCATGCGTTATGTATTCCATGGGTATAAAGATTCTTATATATATAATAAGAATTAGATTATTGTAATTAAGAAATAATATTGTGCGGATTTGTGCCTTAGCTTTGATTATCAAAATATTTTCATTTGACAAAGTATAATCACTATCTCTTACCATGTCATCATTCTACAAGCTCAGGTTATACATTCTACAAAGTATTTGATTACTATTTAACAAATTATTAACATTTCTTCTTAGGTATGTCATACACAATCCATTCATACATTTAAACTGTTAATTAATTTTTTGAATTGTTTTTTAAAAAGGAATGGCAATATTTTATGCGAAATGCTTTTTTTCTAATGTAATAAATTGACAATGATTTAAATTCAATGGTGACTTAAGGTTCACCATGGACCTACATATGAGCAAAATAAGTATTCTTTTTATTACTTAAATAATTTTTTTTAAATAAAAAATATTATTTATGTGAGAAGGTTCACAAAAATGATATGAATCCACGATGTACCAAAGAAGCACTCTATCCTTTAAGTCATGTCAATTTTTCTCTTGATGTGATGGATAGATTATTAGTGAAAATGCATATATAATGTTAAGAAAAAATTAGGATGAAAGTGGGTTGTTAGTGAAAAGTGGAAGTATTTAGGACAAAGAAAAAAAAATAAAGAGTAGTGTTTTAAAAAAATGGAGGGAGCATATATATTACTCTCTATCCAAACTAAGAGCGTGTTGGCGAGTGATTAACTTGTAGGTAAATTAATTTTCACAAAAGCTAAAAACTGAAGCACCATATATCTGCTTCTCCGAAATGGTATTCTATGAACAAAATGATGGTAAAGAAAAACCAAAGTTGATATACCAAACAGAATAAAATGATTACCACCTAAAGCAGAAGCTAAATTCTGAAAAGCAACGCAGTGCCAAACATCCTCTAAGTTGCATATTGACTATTCACTGGGTTAAACTTCCTTAACTTTCTTTCCTTGTTTTTGTTTCTCATTCGAATAAATAATATAGTCATGTTACTTCTTGTTTTGTAGAGATTGTGATGGATGTAATTTGTTAAAATGCAACTTTTATTTTTCTCAATCTCACATAAATAACATTGAGAATAATTTCAATCAAATACTCAAACTAAAATAAGTGGTTTAAATTAGGACGGAGGGATTACCTTTTATGACCACATATTGGTGTGATAATACCACATTTAACTCTATTAAAAGGATTTTATTTGTTAACTTTTTTCATTGTGAACACAGGCCAAGACATCAGTTCACTCATTTACAGATTATTGCCATTGTAATGGCAAACGTTTTGGCTATGCAATTTGTCATGTTGCATGGATCGCCTACAAAAGTATGCACGGCATCTTTTTGCGAGTGTTATCCGAAGTGCTATGAAAAAACTATCGGACAGTTCTATAATTTAACTACATACAGAGAAGGATATTGTGTATTATATTGTGATTATATACATAATACTAAATGTTATAGTCCTGCGAACTGCCCCCATGTAATAGTGTAAAGTATCAAACTCATGATACAAGATTATGAATAAATGTTTTCGAATTGGCAATAGAACATATTTGGATGAATAAGTTTACTCCACTGTTGCCTTGGTGCTTTCATCTATATACTAAACACAACATGGCTCACATAATCAAAAAACTGAATGTTCCAAAAAAGAGTTTTATTTTTGGTCGCCGTCTTGTTCAGTTGGTTTGTGGACGTCTTGTTCGGTTAGTATTAATCCGACGTAATATGCCCAAACCTAATCAAATCAAATTGAACCGAAATTTAACCAATTGCACCAAAACTAACCCAATTGGATCAATCCTTACCCAAACAGGTCCAATTGGACCGATTCAGACTCTGTCCAGTGGTCTGCTAAATCTGACCTACCCCGATGCCAGTGTTCCGCCGGTAACCCGTCAGAAAATTCATTGGAAATTCAACCCAAACACATTCAACATCCAATTCAACATTCAATTCATCCAATTGCACAATCCATTCGATTGTGATTCCAATCTACGAACTAACGCTAATGATAAACATATGATTATGACTCTCCTCGATTAGTGGAGAAACTGTGATCTTGGGCTGAGGGGGAGATACAGCCACTGTTTTCCGCCGGCTCTATGCACGGAAGGACGCCCTTTGGGGTCACAGAATCGAAGTAGGAGCGGAGAAAACTGTAGCGTAGCGGTTTCTAATCGAAATTAGAACGGAATTGGGCCATTGATTTATGATTTTGGCGGGAAATTGATATGGCAATTTTGATTTTGTGTGTGTGTGTGTGTCTATGTATGTATGTATGTATGTATGTATGTATGTATGTATGTGTGTGTATATAAATAAATATACTAATATATATATATATATATAGGGGTGTGCATTATTCGGTCCGGACCCGGACCGACCCGAAACCCGGCCAAAACCGGACCGGACCGGTCCGGACCGGTCTCTATTCGGTCCGGTCTCCGGTCCTCAATATTTCCTTATTCGGGTTCCGGTCCGGTCCGGTCCACCGGGTTTCGGTCCGGACCGGTGGACCGGTTCTATATTTTTTTTTTAAATATTTTTTCTATATAGTTTTATAATATTATATTTTTTAAGATATTTTCTTATACTTAAAAATTAATTTAACTAATACTAAAAGTTTTTCAAATATTTTGATTTTATTATTTAATATAATTTTTTAAATTTGTTTTCGATTCAAAATAAGATACTAATTCTAATGATATTTAAATATTTTTAATATGAAAGGTTTGAAAAACTAAACGTAACCTTTATATCAACGATCTAATGCATTTAAAATTTATGTACTAATACTATAACTTAAATTTGTACTTTATCAATAATGAAACTTTAATCAGTAAAAATAAACATTATAAACAATGTCATTAATGAAAATAGTAAAAAAAATGTATCCATTTGCCAAAATAAATCGAAAACTCAAAAAATATATTACAAAAAAGCAAAAATGCAGTAAGAAGAAGAATATTTTCTATGTAAAATAAAAATTACGAACAAATTTTATGTAATACGGATGGAAGATATGTATTTTTTTTAAAGTTTTTGAATAAAAACAACAGTGTTCGACAATGTTTAGTGTATGCTACAATTAAAAATTAGTTGTAGTAATATTTTTATTCAATTGAATACTTTAAATTAAATAAATAAAAATTAATTTTTTTTAAAAAAATTAAAAATAACATTTATCCGGTCCGGTCCCGGTCCGGTCCGGGTTTTACCGGTCCGGTCCGGGTTTTACCGGTCCGGTCCCGGTCCGGTCCTTAGCTTAACCGGTCCGGTCCTCGGTCCACCAAATGTCCCTTA